AGGTGTGCATGTGTGTGTATGTGTATGTGTATATGCATGTGTGTGGCATGTGCCATGGTTCATGTGTGGAAGTTAGAGGATAACTTGTGGAAGTCGGTTTTCTTCTTCTACCCTGTGGGGCTCAGGGATCAAACTCAGGTCCTCAACCTTGGTGGCACGTACCTTTACCCACTGAAGCATCTCGCCAGCCCCTAAACCTTTATCACTCTTTTATCTCTGGTAATGCTCTTTGACCTGATGTCTATTTCATGTGATATTCAAATAATCACTCTACCCTTTTGACACAACTTGAGTGGTATGACTTTTCTCAATTTATTTTACTCAGAATCTCCATAGATAAAGTATTTTTTTGTACACAATATATAATTAAATGTCACTCTTTTAAAATCTATCCTCATTGTCTTTTGGTTTGGTTTGGTTTGGTGTGGTTGTTTTGTTCTTTCATTTTGTTTTGTTAGAGACAGAGTCTCACTTTGTAGCCCTGGCTGGCCTATGACTTGCTTTGTATGCCAGGCTGACCTCAGATTCGTGCAGGTCTACCTGCCTCTGCCTCCCAAGTGCTGGCATTAAAGGTATGTGCCGACATACGTGGCTAAGAATCTGTCTTTTGGGTCTTTCACCATTAATTTTTAATCCTATTGTTGATGTGGTGAAATTTAAAGCTACCATTTTATTGTTTGCCTTCTGTTACCCCCTCTATCTTTTTTTCCCAATGTTTCCCTTTTAAACCTTCTTTGGGGTTATTTTAATCTTTTTAGCATTTCATTTTATTGGTTGTTAAAGTTATATTTCTTTGCTTTTTTAAATTGAATGCTCTAGGGCTTATAAAGCACACAATTATTTTTTTAATGTGAATTCACACCACAATATGTAAATTATAGAAACTTTGTAGTCATAAAGGCCCATTTTAGTCAACATTTTAATGTAACAAAGATAATCAACTTATTTGGACAATCTCAGAGATTCTAGTCCATGATCGCTTGGCCCTGTTGTTTTGGGCCTGTAATGAGGTATCTTCATTACAAGGGCATGTGGCAAAGGAGGCAATGCGTCTCGTGGCAGCAGGAAGCAGAGGACAGAGAAGGGGCCAAGGACCCCATATCCCCCTCAAGGGCACGCCCCACAGTGACCTAACTTCCTTTAACTGGGTTCTGCCTTCTAAAGATTCTACCACCTCCCACATCCTGTAGGCCCCAAACCAAATCTTCAGCAGGTGGATCTTTCTGAGAAGTTCAAGTCCCAAATGACAGCAGGCTCCTTTGTGCTACAGCCTCTCTGAAACTGTAGGACATCTTTCTGCTGCAAGAACACCACAGGGCAGTACCATGGTTTTACTCTGAATACTTGCATATTTTTTTAATTAACAAGAAGAGGATAAAGCTATAATATTTATCTAGATAGTTAGAATTTCTACTATTCTTATTCCTGACTATCCAGTTTTCCCTTCAGCCTGTACATTTTCCTTAATCAACTCTTGCAGTCACATGAGTGGGCAAACTATTGTTTTACTGTCCTTTATCTGAATGTAGCTTGATATCACCTTCATCACTGCAGGACTGTTTCTATTCAGGCCGAGAGAGCTCCTTTGTTTTGTTTTGGATTGTGTTTCTTATCTTCCGTCTACCTAGGGTTCTGATAAGAAGCCTGTGGCTATTCAGATTGGCATCGCCAATTTACAACCCGCTGTTTGGCCATCATTTCTTCCTCTGCACTCTAATTCCTTGGCATTAGATATTTGGATGTTACTGCAGACACCACAAGGATCTGCCCACTGTACTGCATCTTTTCTCTCCTCTTCCATTTGACATGTCTGAGTCTACCCACTCAGTTCTTTGATAGTCACTACTCTAACAAACCTGTTCAGTAAAGTATTCATTTCAGACAGTCTATTGTTAAGTTTTTAATATTCTTATTTGGTTTCTTTTTTCTATTTTCATATATCACTTTTAGACTTTTATAAAAGTGTTATATTTGCATCATTTCTACCACTTCCACTCCCCTTACCTCTCCCCATGTCCCCCAACTCCCCCTCAATTTCTTGTCCTTGTCTCTGATTATTGTTACATATACGTACGTACATTTATAAACACACATATATAATGCACTGAGTCCACTTAACCATGCTTGTGTGAACATGTGGTTAGGGTTTAACCACTTGGGATTAAATAACCTATCAGGGAGCTTGTCCCTTGGGGAAAATTAATTTTCCCTCCCTCAGCACTCAGTGACTGCCTATAGCTCTTCATGTAGAGGGGACCCTGTTATTTCCCCCAGACACAACGGCATATCAACTGCTGTTGTCATTATCCGGGTCTTGTTAGGCAGCCATAGTGTAGAGATTTCATGGATGCAGCTTCCTATGTCTAAAATGTATTATCTCACATCAGGCATCCTATTCCTCTGGCTGTTACGATATTTCTGTTCTCTCTCCCATGATGTTTCCTGAGCCTTAGGTGTAAAGGTTATGTAGCATATTTGGTTTCTTTTTATATGTTGTTTGCTGCTAAGATTATCTTTCTGCATTTTTATTATTCTTTCTTTGACTTTATTGAACACAGTTGAAAAAAATCACCATTTTAATTTTCCTTGTTCAGTAATTTCAGAACTGAGATCATCTCAAGATCAACATCTTTATTTTATTTTGTGTTTTCCATGTAGAATGAGTTACAATGGCTTAGTTTTGTGTACAGAGCAGTTTTAGATTATAACCTGGATATTGGGCAAATCATCTAGTACATGACCCTGAAGTCTGCCAAAATCATCTGGAGAATTCGGATTTTTTTTAATGTTTATCTTAGCAGACAATTAACTCTGATAGATTAAAATTGTGAGTTGCTTCTTGTTTGTATGTCCAGAAGTTCACATCTTAATGTAATTTTCAGTTTTTGCTGGGCTCCTATAGTGTGTTCCATGGAAACATTAAAGAATAAGCATAAAACTAGAGGGCTTCATACAGAGTTGCAGAACCTCTCTTGCTCGCCCTTGCTTGATTTTCCCATCATGCTTGAGGAGTTGGTGCTTGCTCCATCACCATCCCTGATTTTTCTGACAAGATTAGTGGTTTGATTTGCTTCTTCAGTTTTAGTTGTTTTCCATTTTAGTCACTTTGTGACCACAGGTCACCTTCAGAGCTAAGCCCCAAAAGTGGGAACTCCTGAGTCAAGTCATTTCTCCAAACTTTGGCTCCCTCTGTAATTGGCCTGATAATGTTTACTATTAGGAATCCTCGCATAGTATAGGTAGTGGTTTTTGATAGTTTATTCAGCATTTACTGTTCTTATTAGAAGTATTGGCTTAAGGGGGAGCTTAATCAATAAAATCCTCACATAATTTTCATGTATTCATTTTGTAAAATAATCCATCTTCTCTGTTGTCCTATTCTAGCATGAGATCTTGGGGACTTATCTAATGAAGCACAGTTTGGTAACCAAGATTAACCAAAAGCAATTCAAACAAGATTGTTCTCTCAAAAATGGCTAGCAAGAATCCAATTCAAAATATGCACTAACATTGTTATAAATTGTTTTTCCCCATTACCTTAACTTCCATTTTATTTTACAACTGCCTTTGCTTTAAAGCTTCATTCTAAATATTAAATGTGCCACACAGCCTTTGCCACCTTTCCATTTGTTCTCCTGTCTCCAATTTCCCCTTTGTAAAAGTAGTTCTTGACATCCTCTTTCACTTCAGGCTCATTGAACTAATCCTTGTCTTTGCAAGTGTCCACTCCTTGCATCCTACCATAGTTTGAATACGAGATGCCCCCTGCCCCAGACTCATATGTTAAAGTCCAGGACCCCAGCTGATATTTGGGGAGGCGGTGAAAACTTTGGAAGATGAGGCCTACCTTCAAGAAGAAGCATGCCACGTGAGGATGGGTACTTTGGAGTCTATCTTGCCCTACCTCTTTCTGCCAGTCTCCCCTCTACTTCTTAGTGCCATGAGCTAAGCTGCTTTCACTGTCACATGCTCTGAGCTAAGATGTGTAGCCTTACCTCAGGTCAACAGCAGCGGAAACAGCCAACTCTAGATGAAAACCTCTGAAACCATGAACCAAAGCCAATCCTTCCTCTCTAAGTTGTTTATCTCAGACATTTTGTCACATCCTTACTCCCAACAACTTAAGGCCAAGAACCATGACAACAAATTCATAATCTCCCTGAGCAAATGGAATATTCATGAACGGGAAGCTGAGTCTCCAAAGACAGAATGTTCTTGAGGGAGAGAAAGGAGAAAATTGTAAATACCTTACTCATAATTTAACAGTTCAGTATTATTCAATATGTACTATTTTACACATAAATATTTTATATACAATGTTTGTATTATGAGTACCTAATACATTTAAAATATGAATAATAGAATATTTGGATAATTTATAATGTTTTACTTTTTCTAAGCAAAGTGTAATTCTAATAGATATTTGAATTCTCACAAAACATCTACCGATGACACTGATGACGTTGTAAGTGCCAGGCACCCTGCTGAGCAACATGCATACATTTGTTTTATCAAACTTTATGACAACAGTGAAAGGTAGGCATTACTCCTGTTAACAAATGGGGAAACCAAGGGTCAAAGACATTAGGCAGTGGACCCGGGGCTCCATGTCTATTAAGGGGTGCAGATAGGATCTGAACCCAGGTGGACCTCCAAAGCCTATATAGCTTTGCTTTGTCTTCCTCTTCACACATTGAAATCACAGGCTACCACCACAGCATACTTCAATAATTTATCCCTGAAACAGTGTCATAGAGAGGAGGAGAATAGCATTCTCTTCAAAGGAGATCAGCATTCTCTTACCGGGTTCTGCAAGCTTGGAAACACCACAAGCTTTTATCACACTTCTCTGTCTACAATAAAAATGGAAAGGTGCTACACAATAACAGTCAAAGCCATTCTGGGAAAAAAAAATGAGGAAGACTAGGAATGCATGGTGAAAGTATAAGTGGACAGTCTCATGTCTATCCCAACTCACAAGCTAACACTTCTTTTCTAAGTTTTACAGTTACGACTTCAACAGAGAAGGACCCAGGAGCAGCTGGCTAACCAAGGCATAATACCATGTGAGTACTCGAAATGCTTCCTCTACCCCAGTACTATGATCCTTGGGAGATGGAAAGTCCCTAGAAGCCCTTTAGTCTAAGCCAGCATATCTCTCTCCCAAAGTCCTTATGAATCTGCATCAGCAGAAACCCAGACTTTAGGTGCTTTGCCCCAACTGCCCTTACCCACATCCCACATAGAGATTGCTTCTAAAATTCCAACATGGTCAATTTGTTCTCGGGGTAAACTCGGTTCACAATGGGCATCCCTAACCCTTCTCCTACTTTGGATGTGATCACAAGTCCTTCCAGAAACATCAATTGTATGTATGGTTTTTCTTGCTTTCTTGGTTTGGTTTCAGCTGTTTGAGTCCACAGTTAATTGAATGCTATCAAATATTTTCTTCCTGGAAGATTTAATTGTGATACTATTTTAACACAAATAGTCTAATATTTAATTCTTGCCTAAAATCTGAGCCAAAGATGGATTATCACCTCTTTTAGAAGACGTGAGATTTTCTACCAATGTAACAATTAAAGCTAACTCTTAGTCATCTGTGGAAATAAAGGGAAATGTGTCCTGGATGAATGAAATCACAGTTTAAACTGGTCTAGGTCATACTAACTCTCCCAAATAACATTAAAAATCAAGATTCATGATACTTGCAGAAATTCAGGTCCTTGGACAATACTGCCAGTCTGTTGCTTCAATGTGTAATATACAATATCCAGAATCTACCCTTGACAGATTGCCCTGTGGTTAGTGTATTTGAACACTATGACCCATTTTCTAGCTTATTCTGTTTCAGAGCTGCAACAGAACAAAGAATTTTCTGAGCCTTTTCTTTTGTAATTCAAAAGTAACTTTCTTAATGGCTCAACTTCCAAATAGTAAGCAATATGTGGCTTCAGAGCAAAAGTTTTTAGAGGTTTTTCCCAAGCACAGAAAAGGCAGGCAGCTTCCCGTGGTTTCAAGTCTGTTTCAGTGACACTATTCCACTGAGGAAACAAAGCAGCAAGTTTGTGTGCGGTGTTTTAGCTGAGTCAGCCTCCTGAAAATGAGAGTGACAGGGGGAAGCTGAAAGTCTGCAGACAGGTCAGGTCGGAGAAGACAATTTCACTGAAAGCTGATAACCTGCAGCCTCAAGGGTGTTTTTTTCTCCTTAATTCTGGAAAGACAAATGAAGCTATAGACCCAGAACCTTTTGACTCACCCGAGTTCACAACTGGTTTGAAGTTCAGCCCACGATCCTTGAATACCCTGAGCTTGAATTTTACAGCTGGCATTTGGATAAGAGTATTTTTGAGGTACATGGCATTAAATCTGGAAATACCTGAAGAATTCCAGAAAAGACAGAGATTATCCCTAAGATATGTTTTTAAATAATACCTCTCATGTCAGTTGTATAAATCAAGCATCTGTTTGTATAGTGGGGTGGAATGGATTCATAAGACTTTGTTTCCAGGATTTTCGGAGTCAGCTAGTATAGATATTAACAAAATGCTGGTAAGTTATTAACAGAATTTGTGACTGTGACCCACTGCATATATCAAGGCAATTTTAGGGTAGGGAAAAGTCCTGAAAAGAATGAAATGATTGTTTACATTTTTTTTTATTTATTTATATTTTATGCATATGAGTATTTTGCCTGTAAGTACACCACGTGTGCAGTGCCTGTGGAGACCAGAGAGGGCGTCAGATCCCCTGGAAGTGGAGTTACAGATGGTTGTTAGCCTCCATGTGGGTGCTGGGAACAGACCCCAGGTCCTTTGTGAGAGCAGTCAGTGCTCTTAACAACTGGGCCATCTCTCCAGGCCCAAAATGGTTCTTTTAACTAAGGCAAATGATTAAGATTTTCCATTCTTCAGCATCTCCTCCCAGTCAGGGTTTCTGAGGTATAGAAAAGTGTGCAAGTGTGTGTCTAACACATGATGCAGGCCCTTCATGGACAGATCTGTTCTACTCAGCTCCTCTCAGAAAGCTAGAGCAAGGATGTCTTTTCACTTGCTGATAGGCTCTTCAACCTAATCTGGGACGGAATGTGCAACTTCCATGCAAAGTAGGGTACTGAGGGCTCACCTGGAAGTACAGAGGATGGGGAGCAGGAAGGAGGAGCTATTTAAATATTTTTGTTAGAAAGAAAAGGAAAAGGGAAAGGGAAGGAGGAAGTATAGAAGGAGGAAGAACAGGTGATCCCTGTGAGTCAAATCATATACATGTATGCATATGTATGCGCATATGCACATATATGCCGGCCAAGACAATTTTGGGGGCCTCCATCCCACTTCCTGGTCTTCTCTTCATCGCTTCTAGAAGCCTCTGAGAATCTTCCCTGGAGAGTTGTTTCTCTTCAGCATGGAGATTTAAAACGCCTCCTCTAGTCAAATCTCCATTTGTCTTTAACATTCATGAAACTGAACTTAAAGACCTAACAGAATTTTCAAATGTCCTAAAGCTAAGCCCAAAGCATTCCAATTTTCTATCATTTTAACTTACAGGAGTTTAATTTGCACCTCCACTTAGTTTCTTTCTGTTACCCCTTGGGTATACACATGATGTGAAATAATTGTAATCCTCCCTGAAATTCTATAATGTAACCATAAATTGCCTATACACAAAAATTGATGGCTATGTGAATGAGTTGTCAGGAGTTATCACATAGTCAACAGGAGCATGTACTCTGACTTGGCAGGCTTCAGCCGATATTTTATGTTGGGTCATCTCTAGAGCCTGCCCATCAGAGAAATGCCAACCCCCTCCCCTCTTCATGAGGCAGAGTTGAAGCCAGAACCTTAGATGCCCAGTCCCCACATAGCCAGTCCCCTTTCCCCAAATGTTCAATCACTTTGCATTCATAAACACTTACATTATTGTGGCCAAAAACAAATCCAAGTAAAATTTTAGAAATTAAAGTAATTGCAGGCTAGGGGTGTAGCTCACTGGTAGAACACTCACTTCTCAGGTACAAAAGGCCCCTGAGTCTGATCCCCTCGCACTACAAGGAAGAACTTGGGTAATATAAAGGATAAACCAGTGGTCTTAATGTACTGATTTGGGTTCTGATCATAGTCTGTGTTTCACTGTAAAATAACAAACTCCACTGCCTTGCCTCTGATGGACTTCACTTTTTCTCCATTGCAAAGTGATGATTACATCACAAGGTTTCTACCCTCTACCCCAATGAGCTGAAACACATACTTTCCTGTGGACCACTCCTTCTTCCTGGGCATGCATCATGAAGGCTTTGAGGATGCTGATAAATAACAAACAGTCCACATCAGCAGCAACAATTATTTTTAATCCCGCCGATCAACTCTAAGCTTTCATTTTGTTCTTCTTTATGTGTTATGAGTTTAGGGTTTTCCCTCTTCTGGTGCTTTGAATGAAGTTAAAGCCATCTTTTAACTAGAAGTCAAGTACGGTGGGGTTCTGAGGCCAACATAGAACCCTAAAACAACTTTAAATAATGAGAAAAGGCTTCTTGGGCCCAGCTTGGGAGCTTGAGCCATAGCTGACGATAGCTCTCACAGGTGTATGCGAGCTGTGAAGTTCATATTTTCCAAACCATCATGAAATCTAAGGTTTTATTATTTGGACTTTTCTCCCAAACCCAAGCTCCCTAAAATGGAGCTTTGGAATTGTCTGGTTTGCCACCAAAGCTAAGCTTTGAAAGGAGTGTCTTCACTGCCCTTGCCCTTCAGGCTTACCAGAAGGATACCCAGGCTGCTTGGAGCTTCAGAACAGTGTCAACCTCTGGGAGGGTGCCACTTACTTATTTGTATGCATATTTCCTCCCTATAGTTCTTTCCCCTGGAGCATCACTCTCTGAAGCAGAACCTTAAATGACTCCACCTCATTCTAACCACTTCCAAAGCTTCATGAAAAACATGCTCAGGCGCATGTGTTAGACTCAGTAAATGGCCATGGAGCTATGAGACATCTGCTGGAGAGCACACAGAAATCAGACACAATTCTTACAGTCTAGAAGGGGCCCCAAATCCCCGTTTAATCATTTCTATTAACAATTCTGGGAAACTATAGACCCCTTCATGAGAGTAAGTACTGGGGGAATTGAAGGAGAAAATGGTTTTCTCTCCCTCACTGCTACTAAAGAGAGTCTAATGGGGTTGAACTTGGGGAAAATAAGAAGGAAAGTTTTCCTCCTCCTGGAACAGAAGATGAGAAGAGAGAGCCAGAATGGATTGTAGATGGCTTGGGGCCCAGAAAGGCTTCTGTGTGCCCAGATTCAGAGAGGGCCACCTCTGGCCAGAGGGGGATGTCTGGGCAGCTTGAGTCCATGATCTGATCAATGTAAATGAATTCAAGATACAACGAGCTGTCTATGAATGGTGCTGCCTTTATTTGTTTTGCAGACTAATCCAAGCTACAGCAACCACATATTTACTGCAAAGCCTTGGTAAATCCCTGAACTCTGTGGCACTCCTGAATAGAGAGAAGAATGCTGAGCCATTCCCACCCACTCCCTATGCAGCCTCACCATAGTTTTGAGAAGCTCACTGGACAGAGTCTCTCTGCCTTTTCCCAGTGCATCAGCTGACTTGGCTTCTCCTTACGTCGCCTACCACACACTGTTGGCTGCCTGAGCAGAACACGGCACGAGGGGATTAATCTGTCTGCCTCTTCCCTTCTTCCTAACATCACCTCAGAGCTAGGGAAAGGTACCCTGGATTTTCATGCCAAGTCCACCTGGGTTGGTCCTGATTTCTCTTTTCTTCCATCTCTCCTTCAGTTTTCCAGTTTCCTGTTCCTTGGAAAGTAGAAAAACACTCATTACAGACACCTTGAATTTGTCTTCGTATTTGTTTGGGGAGAAATTCCAGAGTATTGCCATATGTTGCATTAAATTCTGCAAGTGTGCGAGCCATGTCTTAAATACCACAAGCTATGCTGGGCAAGTGCACTGTTTCCAGATCCCTAAGATTATAATTTGGGTACATATTGAGCAATTTATTATCAACTAGAAAAAAAGAAAGTGATTTCTAAGTTGTTATCACCTATACGGACCCTGTATCTTAATCGTTCAGAAGTGCTCAAGGTCCAGTCTGCCTTTAAAAGCAAGCCAGCAAGAACAAATACTATTAAGCCAATTTTATAAGCGGAAAACCAAGAGCACAGGAAATCTACTGAATTAGTTCAAGGTTATACCAAAAGGAGGTAACAAAATGAGGAGAGAGCTTGTTGTACCAAACGCAGGTAACAAAACGAGGAGAGAGCTCACCTAGATGGTTCCTAGCTTCTCAAGTAACCAGGATGTCTTTAAATACACAATATTGAGAGTCTCAAGTCTGAAATAACTATCTTTCTTCCCCCAAAGAACTTTGTGGATATGTATTATTAATCCATATATCTGTTTTCAACTAATTAATGCCCTATAAGTTCACTAGCCAATGTATTTCATTAGAACTAGCACTTTTAAACAACGCTGCTATGACTCCAGGCAGAAGTGGCCAAAGAGACAGTTTCCTCAACGTATGCCTCCTTTCTTTGGGCTGACACTGCCCTCTTCCTTCAGCTTTCTACAGTACTGAAAATCAGTCATGACAGTCTGGGGCTCCACAGCAATGGTTCTCAAATGTGGGCCTCAAAATCACCTGAAGGGCTTGTTCAAACCCAGATCCCCATTGTCCCATTCCAGAATTTCTGAGGTGGGGCTCGAGGACTGGAATTTCTAACATGCTCCCAATTGATGCTGAGCCTGTCAGTCCCAGGGCCACACAGAGAACCACAGAGAAACTTGCTGTCCCCGGGCTGTGGCTCTTTGTGTCTCCCTCTCAATCCCTTGTTCAGTGGAGCTGAGTTCTCTCAGCCTGGGTCCCCTTGAGCGGAGTAGAGTGCTGCTGTTACCACCCTATGGCTGCCAGAGCTGCCAGCCAATACAAGCACCCAACCCTGTGCAGAAGAGAGTCCTCCTTAGCACCATCCAGGGCTCTTTGCTCCACTGTACAGGATCCCATTGGATGCCTGAGGTCAGAATGGCACAGAGAGGTCTGCAGGAGACTTGCTGGTATCTCAGGATCTTTCTTTTGAGCTCTAAGTAAGCGAATGTTTACCCACACAGCTGACCCAAATTAGCTAGAGCTGTAGCGACAGAAATAGGAATAGCCTGCGACTAAACTCTGAGGCGAGATCGTGAATTCCCCTGTGAGGAGCGATTCATCTTCCTCCAGGGGGAACAAGTCCGACGTGTGGCTGACTGGATTTATAGCTGTATTCTAATTGGAAATCACATGGACTTATTTTTTTAATTTAGGAATCCAAATTCTTTTTCCATCTTAAATGTCAATGTCCTTTAAATATGAAATTTTGCCATTTGATACTCCCCGGGCTGGCAGCAGAAGTGGTCCTTTGTGTGTTTTTCAAAAATTCAGCTAGAGGAGGCATTATGATTTTTGTAGGCCTGCAGGGGAGATGGCTGAAGCCCACATTCCCTGAGCCACAGAGAAGGCAAACCGCAACCCCATGGCCACTGCAGGGGAGTTTTTTCATAGTGTGACCTCAAGCCATCTCCCCATTTTACCTCCCCCCAGATTCTGAGACCATTTGGTGAAGGCAGCCTGAGAACCTCCTGGTATTCTTCCCAAGACCTTGATAGATGGGCATAGCTTTCCACCCTATGGTAGAAAGTTCCAGAAGACCTTTGTACTACCATCAGAGGACTATGCAAATCATTTCACAAGAGAGTGACTGACACAGACAGTAATGAATTGTAGCCTTATAAAGTTAATACAGGAAGTGCAGTGTTTCTTAGAATAATAAGCTCCACTAATAAGAACTAAACAACCTTGGGGATGACAGAATCAAATTCCTCTCAAGTATCAGGTCCAATTAAAACTAATTGTGTGAAGCAGCATGAAGACTCGGGTAAAGGCATGTGCACAAATCTGACAACATGAATTTGATCCCCAGAAGGAGAGAGTTAACAAAGTTGTTCTTTGTCACGTGTGTGGCATGCACGTCCTTGCACACACATTGTCATCAGACACATCTATACACAATAATAACAGATGAAATTAATTTTATGAAAACAAAAGTAATTGTGTTTGGAATGTAAAAAATATCTCAATGTCTACTAATACTAATACTTTTCCCTTTTGGGATCTTCTTAAGGAAAAGCATATGTTATTCTTTCTAACTAATTAGTAAAGATCAATTCAGAAATCAATTCCTTTACTGGGTGATGAAAGAAATTCTGTCATACTAATAATATATAATGCTTAATTCTATGAATACCAGATGAGGGGCAAAAGCAAAGACCTATCAGTACAGAGTACCTAGGCTCACAGGGCCTACTGAATTTCAAGTAGACTCTGTGACCTGGTTGCTTAGGAAAAGGAAGGGGGACTCACTCCAGGCATTCCCAGTAAAATTTCCTGTGAGCACTTACAAGTAGACAAGTTCCTCCCCAGGGTGCCCAGATCCCAATCGAGGAAAAGTGCATGAGCCACAGTAGTGCCATTTGTTTCCCAGTCACTCAAATGGAAAAAAAGTAGGAAAGAAGGGGACCATCTACAACAGCAGGTGTGACTGAGAAGTCTGTTTTAAAAACAAACATAGCACTCAAACAGAAGCTAGAAAGTCAGTTTCCAGGTCAATGTGAAAGGTGATATCCAAACTAAATATTCATCTTTGTCCTTTGAAAAGAAACCTCTTAATCTCTTGTCAGTGTGATACGGAAGACTGTGAATTACTTGGGTACAAGGCAGCTGGTTGGGACAATTTTGGCATGGCCTTTGGTCAACATCATTAATGTTGGGGTGAGCCAGGGAGATTAGTAGAAAGCAAGCATGACTTACTAACTTTCCAAACAGCATCCTACATAGAAAACAGTAAGATCAAGCACCATCATAATACTGCCCATCCTTCATCTATGTCACCTTGACTAGCTGGTAGGAAAAGGTGCTTAGGGTTAGTGTAATCTTTAGGGATAAACAAGGGCACTGATCTGGCCAGAAATCTAATTTTTGTGTCAACCAAGATTTGGGAAACTACTACATTGCCTAAGAGTGGACATCTATTAGACTATTGGTAGAATCTGGATCATGGGTGTCATAAATTTATCCACATTCACAATTTACAAAGAGAAACAATGCAATTCTGTGTTCTGAACAACCTTTTCACTTACAAGGACTCCTAATTGAAATTATTCCAGGAGACTAGGAAGTCTGAAACAAAATGTAGGCATTAGCCGAAGGATACCCTGGTTTTGCTACATTGAAAGTTTATGGAACCGGGCTGGAGAGATGGTTCAGTGGTTAAAAGCACTTGGCTGCTCTTGCAGAGGACCCAGGTTCAATTCTCAGTACCCACATGGCAGCAACAACTGTCTGTAACTCAGGTTCCAGGGGATCTGATGCCCTCTTCTGACCTTCAGGGACACTGCATGACCTGGGTGCATTTGTATACATGCAGGCAATACACTCAGACATACAAAATAAAAATAGTTTTTTAAAAAAAGAAAGTTTTTGGAACCATGGCCAACAGGTGCTCTGAGGAGAGATGGGAGAATGTAGAGGGAAGAGCAAAAGTGGCAATTGGTACAAGCAGTCTGTGCTGCTCTATACTAGATATGGATGCCCAGAGCCTATGTCTGATGACTATGAGTAGTTGGAATGCCACTTCTGTAAAGAGATTAGGGTTTTGGAGAACCTAGAATCCAAGACCTAATTGTATGACCCTGGGCAAGCCTATCCATTTATGAGAACCTCAGTTTTCCCCATTCTGTTCAGGGTTGGAGTTGGCGTTCTCTGTTTCCCTGGTCCCTTCCAGCCCTCATATTCTGACTCTCTGCTTCTCAGTCAACACCCTTGGCTGCATGCTCACAATCCACATTCTATCTCCAGAATATAGTCCTTTTCTCCAGTATGTCCCCACTTACCCCAGACCACAGTCATCCATCCAGCTTTTAGAACTCAAGGGCACAGCAAAGCCAATGAGGGTGTGAGTTGCCCCATTTAGCTTCTCCCTTAAACCAGTGTCACCTTGGACCCTCTGTTTCCTTAAGAACTCAGAATGGGCTGCCTCCACCTTTCTTCCTGTCACATGTTCTGCTTTTGCTGCTCTTCCTGGTTTAGGCCTGAGTTCTGCCTGTGGCTTCTAGGCAACTAGTGTCCTCTAGGCCTTTCCTCTGTGTTGCTTATGGCCTATTAAAGGCCATCACTTCCAGACTGTGCAGAGCTGAGCAAGCACACAGCAGTCCTGCTATACTGACCCCTGCCTTTGGCCAGCCTCTGCTCACCTCTTTATCTTTCTGTTGCAGCACTGAAAAGCCCAACTGAATTCCATGAACAAAGAAAAAATTTGGATAGTGACAAGGTAATTTTTGCACACTGCCTTTCCTGAAAGTGAACTACAGGAATATCTACAGGTTCTAGACTTCTGAATGCTAAACTTTGGCTAAAGCATATAGAATTTCTACAACAAATTCCAACTGGCCAGATCCCTGTCCTCACCACAATGCCTCTTGCTCCTATGAAACAAAGACTGTGGGAATGGCATCTATTGTGTAAGCTGTAAAACTGATATATTGCAACTTGAAAAAAGTGTTCTCAGTCTTTCTGGTGTCAGGGGACTATCACAGCAAAAATGCACTAGAGGTCAAAAAAGTCTTAAAAGTAAGGTTGGTTTGCAAGCTGACTTACCTTTCATTACAGTACATTCTTAGAAAAATTCAGATATTTTTATTTTTTAATTTATTTTATGTGTATGAGTGATTGCCTACAAGCATGTAAGTTCACCTGTGTTGTGCAATGCCTGTAGAGGCCAGAAGAGGGCATAGGATCCCCTATTCTGGAGTTATGGATGGTTGTTAACTGCCATGTAGGTGCTGGGAACTGAACCCTGGTCTTCTGCAAGAGCAATCAGTGCTCTTAACCACTGAGCCGTCTCTTTAGCCCCCACAAAGCAGATATTTTTATGTGAATTCAGTGGGAAAATGACGTCTGTGGATACGACATATTTACAGTGACTTGAATCAAAGTGAAATGTTACTCAGGTGCTTTTCTGGATTTAGAAGCCAAGATTGTTTGCTTTGTTTTATTTAAAAGAAAATTTTAACGTATATGTTTGGCATCTTTGTAACAATTTCTAACAACCTGAATTTATCACCAATATAAATACTATTTGAGAGCCATCAGCACTTCAAGCAAGACAGGAAGACAAGTGGGCATCTGTTTCATTGCCTGTATGCTGCAGCCTTGTAGCTTGTCTGTGAGCAGACAGGAAGAGAGGGATTCTGCAGATCTTTGAATTCGCTGTGAATGGCTGTGGATCCTACTACTAGGAAACGAAGATTGTGACCGGAACCGGAGAGAACACAGACCCTTCTCAGGGACCCAATAAGAGATCCACTCTAGGGAGAGAGAAAAAAAACAGAAGCAGAAGTCAGAGGCCTGGATCCTTTGCTGGTCTGACCCTAGCCTGTGTCATCCCTGCAGACACTCCATCATCAGATGACACTGAGAGATGGGAACCCATTGGTTTCCAGTCACCTTACAAAGTCTAGATCTGTAGGGTTTCCATTTCCGCCATATCAGAACTCCCAGAAAATGTGGCATCTTATTATGGGTTTATGCAGCATTTTATATGTGACCTTTGCTATTTCTATGACTTGTTTTAAGAGGAAATAAGACCAGTGATAGCAAAGCAACTCCATAACTCCATGTCAACTGTCATATTGATATTATTAACATGCACCTACCTGTCCATTAAATACCTTCCTATTTGTAGCGCTCACCTGGGCCCTGGCTTTTCAGTCCTTCACCTTACTTTCCCATACCAGAATTCTTGGAGAAATTTTTGTGTTTCTTAAAAAAAAAAGGGAAAGCAAGGGTATTTCCATTTTCCATTTGTCATTCCAAGAGTAGTTTTTCCTTTTGGGAGAAATTGAGGGTTTTTTTTTTTTTTAATTTAAAACTAGATGATTTGGGGCTGAAGAGATGGCTCTGTGGTTAAGAGCATTGGCTATTCTTGCAGAAGACCTGGATTTGAATCCCAGCACTCGCATGATAGCAACAATGGTCCATAACTCCAGTTCCAAAGGACCCAGCATCCTCTTCTGTCCTCTGAAGCCACTGCACGACACAAGTGCACTTACATGCAGACATGACACTCATGCACATAAAATAAAAATAAGTAAATCAAAATAATTTTTTAAAACTAGATGATTCACTGTTTGTGTTCTACAGACTGAAGATTCCCTGAAGCACAAGGGCAGAAACAGGTTCGACCGTGCCAGCTTGGCTAATATGCACATACTCCAAGGTAAGGCTGCATAATGTCATGAACAAAAAGATGGCTATCCAACAATGGGCTATTTTCTAGAGAGCCATCTCTGCACTTTCTAAGCCCCTTAACAAGCCTTTCCTAGTATTCTGTTATTAAGTTGTTTCAAGTAGTCATTCAGTCATCTCAGACACAGGTAGCTAACTAGCTAATGTATTTCAGGCTTGGGTTTCAGTCTCGCTCTTGACTCTAAGGCTTGGCCATCCCATAACCTCTCTGGATACATAAGAAGTGCCCAACATATTGCCAGTTGTTATTAATATGGATCGTTGGTCATTTTGCATGAGATGGGGGTTCATTTAGTTGCTTCCTTAGTTATTGGGTAGCAGTTTGCTTCAGCCTTGTGGAAACTTTTGTGTTCCAGTGTGCAGGGAATATCAGTCTCAGAAATATCAGGGCTGATCCATGCAGGTCCAGTTCTACCCTAGGGTGCTACCACCATGTTGGAAAGAAGAAATGGAGCAAACACCTAGCTGCTACCACATATGGTCTGACACCTGGGGAAGAGAGGTGCAGGTCTCACCCTGCTTTATGAGTTGCCTTCCCTAAGCTGGGAGTCCTCAGACCACTGGTGCCAGCTTCAAAGAGGCCCAATTCCTACTTTGACATTATCTATGAAATATTTGCTCATTGAACAAGCACTACACTGGTGTTTACTAGGAGCTGGTTGACCTAAGTACAGAGATAACTATGACACAGTCTCCTGCCCTTCAAGGACCCTCCCAGGGTAATAGAAGGGGCTGACATGAGAATCAGCATTCACAATGGATGCGCAGAGCAGGTTCTTGGAAATGAGGCATCTGACTCCAAATGGACTAAGGAGGAAGAAGGGAAGAAGCACAGACCAAGCTCAGAACAAGGATGAGCACTGAAGGCAGAGCTGCAGTGTGTACCTGACACCAGCGCTCTTTCTCTAGAATGCAGATTTCCTTCCAAGACTGGATGCCAGTTTTACAGGGCAGGAGAGGTCCTGAAACAGAATGAGAGCCATGTCTTCCTTCTTTGATCAGCACCATTTCTGACTGCTTCTGGCTTACTGACCTTTTCCCAACCATGGAATAAGTGCTTTAAGACAGAACAGTTTCAGGCTAGGGAAGAGAGAAAACAACAGTGCAGAATCAGTAGAAACGCTATGTGGGTTGCAAGGCTGTGACCCGGATGAGGCAGCAAAGAATACCAAGGGCTCTCAGGCAGAGGTGACAAAATTCTTACCTCCTTTGCAGTGACATCTGGAAAGACCCTGGAAACAGCTGCTGTGTCAGCACAAGCTTACAGCTGTACAAACAGCCCAAGAAATGGCATTTCAAATGAGATACAGACTTTTCAATGATCAAGTTAACAAGTGAAAATAAATACTGCATGTGGCAAGATTAAGGGGGCATAGGCATTCTTACCTCTGCTGGGAGTGCAACCAGGTCAGGGTTTCTAGAGGGCAGTTTGCAATGTAAATCAAACTCCTTATAATTTAAATGTTATTTAAAGAAGATAATCGTATTGCAAAGGTTTATGTACAATAGTGTTTCAAGGAGTTCCTTTAGATGGGAAAACACTGACACTGGTGTAAAGGTCACAATACCAAGGTATTTGCCAAATATATTGAAGATCCTTCATCAGGCAGAAGACCACATAGCCACCACCAGCAAGGGTTTTAAAGAATAATAACTTAATGAAAAAAACCTTAAAAGATGTTTAGGGGAAACAACAGAAAACAAAACTGTATTTATAAGTGAATTCTGGGAAAGAAAACCAAATACGTAAACAACTGCGTTTACAGTCCAGTTCTGGGAAGAAAAAGTATAGAGCTAATAATAAAAATAAATAGCTCAGAAAGAATGACTCAGTGTGAGGAGTTCCCTGTGCATTTATTTCATTTTCTTTTGTATGCTCTTAGTATAGTGCACATTTATGATAATGAAGGCATAGACATGCTGTAATCAAGAAAGCATAAGTGGGTAAAGTGTCACCCAACAGTGCAATGCTTCTCTGAATTTCATCTCCAGTACTTTTTAAAAGTTATTTCTTTCATCCTTGTAGTTGGCATCAAGCTGCAAACAACAGCAGCCCCAGGTTCTGCATGCCACTCTCATGGAACCCTCTAGTCTCCCAAACAAAAACTGAGAATTTGCTCCATGGAGCGCCAAAGACCTGCTAAGATACGAACCACCCCTGCCTTCCAAGAGTTTCTCATCCAAAGTCAGAAGCAACAGTAGGCAAAGAAGGGTTGGTGCTTATAGCACAGACAAAACTCAGAACTAGGAAGGCTGTCCAGTGGGGCTAGAAGAGGAGGTCGTGGGGGAGCACCAAGAAGAATTACAGGGTGTGGGATGGGAATGGAGAAAGTAGTGCAAAGGTGGTCTCAGTGCCACAGGGGCAGAAGGGGCAAGGCCAGGCTTGGGGGTAGAGGAGGGGAGCTGGAACGGAGAGCCACTGGTCCTGAAAGCAACTGGATTCATTCATGGAAGACTTGTAAGAGGCAGAGAGGCCTGTCAGAAAGGATGGAAAAGCCCTGAGGTGGGGAGTTCAGCGACCAACCTTTGCAATGGCCTCTAATGAATGGTTTGGGGGAAGGGTTAGGCTTAGATACCTCCATTCCTTGGGGGGTTTTATTTTAATTTTAAATTGTGTGTATGTGTGTTCCTGTGTGTGTGTGTGTGTGTCTGTGTCTGTGTGTCTGTATGGGGGCATGTGTATGTGAGGACTGGTGTCCACAGAAGCCAGGAGAGGATGTCAGATATCCTGGAGCTGGAGTTACAGGCAGTTCTAACCCACCTGACAAAGGTGCTGGGAACCAAATTCCAGTTCTCTGCAAGAGTAGTAAGCACTCTTAACTACTAAGCCATCTGTCTAGCCTCCAACACTCTCATATACCAGTTTGGAACTTCTAGACAAACCTGGCCTGCTGTTACCAATTATGGGTCCCTCTGCTGTATACAGAAAGCTTAGTCAACCTGAGACCCCAGGTCTAGATTAGTGGATTGATGGTAGTAAACCAATGAAGCAGGGATATTTGTCTATAAATACCTCATCTTCTAAATCCAGCAGTTGGGACAAAAGTGGAACACTCTTTACCTCACATTTCCCCACCAGAGTCACAGGTGCCTGAATTCTCCTCTGCATTCTTTCACCGAAATAAGTCACAGCCTGCCATAAAGAGGAAGTTTGGGGGCTGGTGAGATGGCTCAGCGGTTAAGAGCACTGACTGCTCTTGCAGAGGACCCAGGTTCGATTCCCAGCTCCCACATGGCGGCTACGAACCATCCTTAGGGGAATCCGAAGCCCTCTTCTGACCTCCGAGGCATTGCATGACACAGGTGCACTAGCATACTTGCAGGCAATACAATCATACACATAAAATAAAAATAATAAAAAAGAGGAAGTTTGGGGTCAGCCATAAAGGGGAGTGTTTAGACCCTTATACCTAACCTTTCTCCTCCAAATGATGAGAAACTGCCTGTTGAATAAATTCAACTTAAAAAAAAAAAAATCCCTCTGTTTAATTAACTATCAGCTTCAAAGGGATATTTTTCCTTTTGTAACATATCTGCATATTTGACTCTCAGTAAGAATCACAACATTGACAAATCTAAAACCCTTAAAAAGTTATCCTACCACTACTAACTCTACCCAGGAGATCATGTTTACTGCAGGCTCAGACTGTGCCAGTCATTCTACAAAGCCCGGAGCTTAGGGTCAGGCAAGCAGCACAGACCCCATGGACTGCTTGCTTACAAAATTGCCAAATTGCATTTTTTAAAACAAATCCTCGCAAGGCAAGTTTCTCCAGTTTTTCTGTGTGCCTCTCCATTTGCCTTTATTTGGAAGTGTCTGGTCTTCGGTGCTAATCCCTGTGAAGTGATGATGATTGCATTGAAAAATTATCAGGACGGTAGAGCATGGTGGGACACAATGTTTTGTAACCATAAGCCAAAGAACCAAACCAAACAAAATGACATCAAATTCTAAATCGGATCCTGTTCATTTCGACCCTGCAGCCTCCACTGCAGAGAGATCCATCCCAACTGCTCAGATGAAGCTGAAAAGAGCCCGCCTCGCAGATGACCTCAATGAGAAGATTGCTCTTCGACCAGGGCCTTTGGAGCTGGTGGAGAAGAACATTCTCCCTGTGGATTCTGCAGTGAAAGAAGCCATAAAAGGTGGGTGGAGGGAAGGGGCATGTCTGTCTCATACTCATGCAGCCAGAGCTTTGGAAAGCTAAGAGCTTTGGGGTGTACAGTTCTCACCGATGAGCTATGCCATGGGTTTGTCCTCAAACATATACTCCAGACCCAGAGGTCCTGGGATACAGAAGAATCTTATCCACGTGCACTCCAAGACCAGGCCAAGTTCTCTGTTCTTGAGGAGGCTAAGAACCTGATGGGATGAGGCATAACACTTAAAACAGCTCCCTGGTCTGGTCACATCACTTAGGAGTTGTGGGCACCTCTCTTCAGCTTCCATTGTTAAAGAGGCACCGGGTGGGGGAGTGAGAGGAGCCGAGAGTGATGTCTCAAGCCCAGTGTCTGAGAGGCTGAGACAGAAGGAGCCCCATGAGTTTGAGGCCAGCTTGGGCTCCATAGTGAGTTCCAGGCCAGCCTGGGCTACACAGTGAGCCTTGTCTTAAAAACCAAAAATTAGATGTCAGGGCTGGAGAGAAGGCTCAGTGGTTGTGAGCACTGAGCACTGACTGCTCTTGCAGAGGACTTCAGCACCCAACACCCACATGGTGGCTAACAATGGTCCTTAACTCCAGTTCCAGGGATCCAACACCCTCGTCTGGCCTCTGTGGGCACTGCACGCATGGGAGCATTTACAAACACACAGGCAAAACACTCATACACATAAAAAGATAGATAGATAGATAGATAGATGATTGATAGATAGACAGACAGAAGATAGATGATAGATAGATGATTGATGGATAGGTAGACAGACAGAAGATAGATGAAAGATAGATAGATGATAGATAGATAGATAGATGATAGATAGATAAATGATAGGTAGAGATAGATAGATGATAGATGGATAGATGATTGATAGATAGATAGATAGACAGATGATAGATAGATGTTAGATAGATAGACAGACAGACAGACAGACAGACAGACAGACAGACAGATAGATAGATAGATAGATAGATAGATAGATAGATAGATATAGACAGATGATAGACAGATGTGAACCAGTACCATGGAAACAGCACTTTGGCTACTGTGATCTCGGACTGACCCAGGTCACTTCACCTTGATGGGATGGAGATGAGAATGCCTACCCTGCTGAGACTTTCAAGAGTAAAGCTCACGTGATGGGGTGCGTGTGTAAAACCGACAACTTTCGTGTGCTGCGTGAGGCCACAGTACAAACACTCAAAGAGAAGATATACACATTCATTCTGTCAGAAGCTTCATTAGCTCTTTGTTGTAGACATTTTTACCAACTGACCCCAGGTTAACCCCAAAAGCCTACAAGTATGGAATTCATTTAGGGTAAGGTTTGAGTTGTGCCTTAGGTAAACAAAAGGATAGCGGAGAAGAGGAGATTAACATTCCCAAAGGCAAATTGACTTTCTTCCAGTTAAGCCCACAGACAGCTCCTGAGGACTATTGAAAGATTATTTACCAATATACATTTAAATGTTTCAATATGTTGTCGAAAGAATGCATAAGGACATGTTATTCTAAACAAAGTTTAATGTGAAAGTTATCACTGAATTGATCCACATCTTGGTCTCACCTATCCACTCAGAGACCCTCTGAATGCTGCCTTTAGGACCTGTAACTATAGAAATATGAACTCCAGGAGAGTCATTTACTCATCTGTTAGTGCCTCCTTAGACACTGCTCAGTGATTGCCTTTCCACTCACACTGAATATCTTGTGACTTTAACCTTGGCCTGCAGTTCTCAAGAGTGCAACCTTTCCCAGTGATGATGCATTGCTGGTTGGTGGCTCTTCTCTCTTGCTGCTGTATGTGCCTCTCTGTACCACTTTGCACTTGCTGTTGTTACAGGAAGAAACATCTTCCCTCTATTGCCAGCATCATCATGCTTTTGCCAGGTTGTCCTTTTGGCATAGTGATTTTACACACAACAGTTTCAAACTGTTCTATACTTGTCTTTTTCTTCATAGTTTCTAGATTTGTTTCCAGTGAAAATATTTCCCAGCTGTGCCAGGCGGGGTGGTGCACACCTTTAATCCCAGCACCTGGGAGGCAGAGGCAGACGGATCTCTGTAAGCTCAAGGCCAGCCTGGTCTGCATAGTGAGTTCTAGTTCCAGGCCACCTGGGGCTACAGGGAGACCCTATATAAAAAAGAAAATTAATTAATTAATCAATTAATTAATTAATTAATTAATTAAAAAGCGGGGGAATATTTCCCAGCTCAAGGATATAGGCTTGGGACAGGAGAGATGGCTCAATGGTTAAGAGCACTGGCTGCTCTTGCAGAGGACCTGGTTTTAATTCCCAGCACCCACATGGCAGGTGACAACAGTTTGTAACTCTAGTTCCTGATGATCCAATATCCTCTTCTGACCTCTGCAAGGCATTGCACAACACGGGTGCACTTACACACATGCAGGCAATATACTCATACACATAAAATGTAAATAATTAAAAAAAAGAATATAGGCTTTATTCACCTACGGCACCTTCTACACATATACAGTCCCTCATTTCAACACTTACACCCTGAGCTCCTCTGAAAATATTTTAGGACTTGGCTTAATAGACACGCGTACCTTTGCTGTTTCCAGAATTGTGTGATATGTTTTACGATTTGACATAGTATTTGTCTTCAAAAACTTCTTTTGAGTGGCCTGTGGTCTCCTGGATGCTTGCGGAAGTATATGGAAATGAAGATTAGGGCTAGCTTCTCATACACCTTCTCACGTGCTAACTCACCCGTGGGAATTTTGTTTAGGATTGCCACAATTGTACAGGTTAATTTGCAGTGGATTTATGTGTTTAAAATATACTGATTCTTCCAAGTCAGAAATAGAATGCCCCTCCCTACTTAACAACATCTTATTTCCCATGGCAAAGTTTGTTGTTGTTTTATGCCAAGTCATATGGGTCATGGTGATACTTGAAGTTTATTAATTTTGTGCCTTTATTTTTCTTAACATCTCTGAAGATTTCCTCAATAGTTCCAAGAAGTTTCTCAATTTACCTTAAGTAAAAAAAAAATCATATCTACAATATGGAAAATTTATTTTCTGTTTCTGTTGTCTTCTGCTTTGGTATAGTGGCTGGTAGTTGACAAGCCACTTACTATGTGATTAATGTCATTTTAAAACTATACAAGTATATTAATAACAAATTTAACAACTTTGTGTGTTTTATTTATAAATTGTAATATATATTTACATTAGTAAATTATGTGACTTGTATAAATTACATTATAATATAGTGTAGTGTATTATATAAATAAAATAACATTTTCTATGTGAATATATATGGTATATCTATTTCACATATAAATGTTTACCATATATAAAATTATGTATGTAGCACATAAAGTAAATATATACAATAAATAATACATTAATATGCAAACTGATTTACTAACGGTATACGTCTTTCTTAGTAGAATATTATTATTATTGACATGTTGTTAACAATCCTTCAAAACAGCCAAGATAACAAGCTTGAGGCCAGACTGGCTTTATAGCAAGATCCTGTCTCAAAAAAGCTGATAACATGTCACTCACTCTGTTGCGTTCTGTTTTATTTTATGCCATGATATATTGATAAGAACGTGTTTTCATTTCACATCTCTTTAAATGGGAATCTGCATAATTCACATCTTATGCAACAGGAGCTTTGGTACAAGTCTTCTAAGTAAATGTTCTACTAAAAGTAGTTTGCAAGGTAGATGCTGAATATTTAAAACACTTTCAAAACCTGTGAAAAGATAATGGTGTGGTTCTTCTTCTATGACTAGCCATGTGGTACTGCTTCCTTTCCTGATAACCTTGATATTCCTAGAAACGACCTTTTACGATTTGAGATTTTGCATCAATCTCGTTATTAGTTGGAACATCATAGCATTTATTTCGTGTTCCAACCATGCAGGGAGTGCTTTCCTCCAAGGGGAGTTCTCCTTCTTCTTAACCTTGTTATCTCAGCATCCCCCCAAGCAGGGTGGCTCTTTTTCTTAAAGGACCATCTAGTAAACTGTTATCTGAGTCTATCACAACTGCCCAACTCACCTTGTAGTGGGAAAGTAACTATGGCAACAAGTAAATAAATGGGTATGGCTGTGTTCCAATAAAACTTTATTTAGAAATGCCAGCAGCAGGCCAGCTTGCCTTCCCTAGAGCTTCGTCATCATCTGAATCTAACCAGTGAAGAAGAAAAAAAAAAGAGAGAAAGAGAGAGAGAGAAGTCCCCACTCACTTATTAAAACAGGCTCAAGGAGGAAATGAACACCTTGTTTGGACACATTCCACTGTGAGACCAGTGTGTAGGCTGAGAAAGGTCCCCTGGTGAGGGCCACTTCCCAGTAGTAACTCTATACTGTGGAAAAGGAAGCATAAAATTTGATAAACAGCTAGTCCTGACATGATATTCATAAATAACACTATGTTGTTCTTGTTTATACTGGTCAGATTTAAATGTCAAAGCTATGCAGATGTTCCTTGAGGTATGATAAGGTCATGTCCAAATAAACCAATCAGAAACTGAAAGATAACATTAAGTTGAAAACGTATTTACTACACTCGAGCTACAGAGTATCTGGTCCAGGAATACTGCACTGTAGGATATGTGGCTGACTAGAGTTGTCATTATCTGTTGCCGGGAAAGTGTGTGTGGCTAGCCTGGGGAAAGACCAAAATTCAAATTTCATAGTAAAGTTCCTCCCGGATGTCTGCTGCTTATGCATTACTTTAAAGTCTTTAAAAAGATGGCACACCATCATTAAGTCAAGGATGATGAATCCGTACATGTGTCACGAAATAATTTATATTACCTTTTGACATCTTTCTTTGTAACGGAAATGCGTGTGAGCTCAGTGATCAGTTGCTTAAACACCATGGCTGTTAACATCACAGAGACCCATTCCCTTTCTTGGGAGTTGTTCTTTAATAACTTTATATAGTGATGCCCATACTTCCCCTTCTTCTGAATTTTAAAGTTCATGGGCCTTGAGCAATA